TTTTTTTTATGGATGGGTGCTTTTTATTTAACTTGTTTTGGACTGATGCATACAACACTCGCTGAGTGCCATGAAACAGCTTGAAAGATCAAAGACAATTTTTAATATAACTCCGACTGGATTCGTCTGAAAGAAGAAAGTCATATACACCTAGGATGACTTGAAGGTGAGTAAATTATGCGCTAATTTTCATTTTTGGGTTAACTAACCCTTTAATACTCTGTCACAAGTTGTAATTTAAAGTTTACACTAGATATAAAAAACGCCTGACTATGTGAGAATACAAACTGAACGACAAATTTGAGATCAGCAGGAATTACGTTTGCTAAGGTGCATCGTTCATTCAAGCCATTTCTGGACATACAAAAGTCCTTGAACATTCAGTTTAGCACAAATGCAAATGAGCAGTATAAAACTGTGGATGTGATTTCAGCCCATTATCTTAAACTAAGCATCTCGTACTTTCCATTTAAGCCTCTTAAAGTGTGTTGTCCAACTCTGATCCTCATCATTTTGAGTGGTCACTATCAGCACAACCTGAATAAGGATGTTTCAAAAGAACAACTGAAGCTGATCACAGGTGCAGCCTATCAGAACAAAGCAACTATTAAAAAAATTATACAGATTATGAGAACAACAATGTCTTAAACTAGCCATATGGACACTTATCAGTCATTACGGTTTAAGCTTTTAGACATCCTTACAAACCAATAAAAGTTTTACTGCCGCAAGGATATGCTGTTGGTATTAGATTTATTTGAGATATACATTTTTTTATTGGGTTCATGCAGTTTTTGACCCATGACTTTTCCAGTCATTCATAATTGCCAGGTTTTAAAAATCACTTCATTGAGATTTCAGGAACAACTTTCCATTTACAGGCATCAAGCTTTTGAATGAATAATTTAAACAATTAAACGTATTAGTGTACAAATGTTTTCAACAAGACCTCAACATCCTCTGGCAAGTTTTACTCCATAAGACCAATATCTGGTTGCTTAAACATGGCAGAGCTTAAATATCCCTATAGAAATCTCTATGACTCTGTCTGGAAATCATACTTTTAATGTCACCTGATATTTCCAGGTTTTCAGAGCTTATGGATGGAAACCTTGTTTAAACTACACTGTCCACATACTATGCATAACTTGTTTGACTGCATGTCTTGCAACTCCTCCTGCTTTTGCACAAAATATAAACCCAGGCTTATGTATTTAAAACAACAAACCTAAAAAGTCACTAACACAAAACGTAAGAAATTGAGACTTTATAACTACTTAAAGTGGAACTAAGATCAATGAATAACAGTAACGCGCAAGTCTGGGTGTTTTAAACCAAGTAAAATCTTCAACTGTCACAAGCTCACTCATCAAATCAAACTATTTTATTACATTAGTTTGTACAGCTGCTCTAACATGATTACGTGCATCAAAAATTAGATCTTGGGTTCTGTATGTCTCATGCACAAGAAGCATCTGAGCATCTACATCACGCATTGATCCAAACCTTCCACAAACTCTCCATCTGCATCTGCATGGTACAATCCTTCATGTAACGTCTACTACCCGAATGCATGACAAAGTTGCTCCAAAGCAAGCACAAGCAGCATGCATAAACAAAAACACCTCAAAAGAGCTGTGCAGCACAGCTAGATGAGCACTGCACAGAATCTGCAAAGAAACTACTTAGTCAAGTGTTAGATAGCCGTCTCGCGCAGTGCAGCGCAGGCATCAGAGAACGTGCAGGTTTTTGCTCAATATGTGACAATGCACAAATTCACTTACTTCTCTCTGGCTTGACTATCGGATGGAACGACAGCTCCTTTCCCTTTGGCGTACATGGTGGACTCTGTTTGAAGACTTTTAACCTACTCAACACCTGTCAAAGGAAGCGGCCAGGAAAACGGTCTATCTCCATAGCTACCCGCTTAGTGTTTTCCTCCCTTTTCGAACATCTCTAGCATTGGCTACAAATCAGGCACAGCTTCTGCTGGGGGAACTTGAAACAGTCTACTGGTGGATTTTTTTTTTTTTCAATCGCTGTTCCAGGATTATGCTCACCCTCCCCCTGCTGTGGAGAAAAGGGGGGGCTCCTTAAAGGGGAAGGCACTCTATTCGTTGGATTGTTGTGCTGTCTAGACCTGTGTAAATCAAGTAACAAACTTAACTGAAAAATAGTGTTACTACATCTTAATATTTAGATTCTCAGTAGAATTAAAAAGTAATTGTGCACCAGTGTGCATATGATTTGTTTTTAAGGAGCTTTATTTGTAATGTTTGAAGAAGCAAGGTTATGACAATTATTGTTTTTATAATGTTTTTGTTTCTCTGGAATTCATTGTGACATCAGTTTAAAGACCACAAAATATCAAATATAGAGTTTTAGTCTGTCTGTTAGCTTCATTTTTAGAAAAAAATACACATTTCAATTAAAAAAAAAATTTTTTTTTATTATTGTACTATACAGATTTATGTCTAATTAAATGGTTTCTAAAATTAAAATTTCCCTCACCCCAAAACTCTCTGCAGCTGTCTTGAATGTAACAAATCGTAGTTTGTGGCTGTGATGTAACTGCTTTTTTTTAAAGCAAAAAAATATATATATTTTTATTTTTATGTAACACTGCTCCGGGTGTGTGTTCACGGTGTGTGTGTGTTCACTGCTGTGTGTGTGCACTTAGGATGGGATAAATGCAGAGCGCTAATTCCGAGTATGGGTAACCATACTTGGCCACATGTCACGTCACTTTTTAACTAAAGTCTATTGGCTCTTTAAATAAAAAGGGGACACGAACCCTTTAAAGTCTGCATAGAATGAATATCTAGTTTGTAAATGTATTTTATAGAACATTTTATAGAAAACTTTTTTTTTTAACCTCATATTGTTAAAATGTTGTAACTTGAGCTTCTGGTGAAAATGAGCTTCTATCTGATAACATATGGCTGTCTCATTTCAAAGGCTGAGCTCTCCGGAGGTCACATTTGTCAGCCGCATTTGTCATTGAGGCTGTCTCATTTCATGAAAGTCTTTCTGTAATTGTTACTTTTATAATCCTTGTTGATCTATATGACAGACAAATATGACCTTTAGGTTGGTGCAGCCTTTGAAATGAGACACAGCTAATCTCACATTAATATTTGAGTACAATGCATCTCAGAATCCAATCAACAATCGATGGATTGAAGTCCCCAGCCTACAGTTACACTCGAATATGCCACAATATGGAAGAAAAGATCTGCTGCTACTTCTGTTACATTGCAACTTTAATATGTCCCACCCAAACTTCCTGTTTCAATAGGAAATACATCAATAAAGGAAAATGTGCTCATCAAGCAAATGCACTGGATATTTTTCGAAAGTGAAAGTAAAAGTGACGTGACATGTGGCGACCCATACTCGGAATTAGTGCTCTGCATTTACCCATCCAAAGTGCACACACACAGCAGTGAACACACACAAACCGTGAACACACACCCAGAGCAGTGGGCAGCCATTTATGTAGCAGCGCCCGGGGAGCAGTTGGGGGTTCGGTGCCTTGCTCAAGGGCACCTCAGTCGTGGTATTGAAGGTGGGAGAGAGCGCTGTACATTCACTCCCCCCACCTACAATCCCTGCCGGTACGAGACTCAAACCCACAACCTTTGGGTTATGAGTCCGACTCTCTAACCATTAGGCCACGACTTCCCCACACTCACTTGTGTTTAGATTGTTAAACATTACTAGACGGAGCTCATTCCCAGGCTTTATGCCACCATTTGGTTCAGTCTGGAATTACAAATGTAATACTTTATCATAGCAACTATTTTTATCCATAAAAATTTTAATCAATTTTTTTTTTCTAATTTTGGCCATTCTAATATCAAGACCAGAGTCAAAATATTACGCTGATTCAATGTCAGGATAAAAAATGGTAAACTATTGAATTCAATTAAAGAAGCATAGGCTTTAATAATATTGATATTATTTTACTGGCAAAATTAATTAATTTAAATCAACCATTTTCTACACACACATGTATTTTTATTTATACATTTATTCTAAGTGTTATACGTTTATTCATAACAGAGCAATCCGAGTTGAAAAAGTGACGTGTGTTTTGAAATGCATTTGTCAGGCTCTGATTTACAGCATGTATAGGGTGCATTATGATACTAGGTCAACAAGGACACCAGTGGAGGCCTATTTAGGACAGCTAACCATATCGTCTCCATTACACAAGTGGTGTTTACCCAGAATGTTCCTCCACACTCTCCGGCCTCCTCCTGTGGTTCATGAGGCCTGGCTGAGTCATGTTTATGGCAATAGCTCTGGCAACATCTTGTAAATACCAATACATGTAAGTCAGGCAACATGTTGGATAATGTACCTTATCTACCTGTTACAAATGAGTCACTTGCTTCATCTGAAAATAAGTAGAGTCGTGACTTATTGTTAAGTGTCTCTTTAAGAGTTAAGAGCAGGATGCCGAAGCCGAGGTGATGTTTTCATGCTGTTTTTTATTGTGGGAAAGGCAGAGCCACTGCACAGCTGACTACATGTTTGTTAGGGTTTGCCTCTTCCAGAGAGCGGAAAAAAAATTCATGTTGATGACTATATTCCACAGGCGTCTCCCGATGAGAGAGAGCTAGAGAGAGAAAGAGGGCAAGGGAGAGAGATGGAGGGTGAAAGAAAGAGAAAGAAAAAGATATAAAGAGAGAGAGATGTAGGGTAATGTGAAGATAGAGAGAGTGCAAAAGATGGAGGGCGAGGGAGATGGAGAGAGCGACTTGGCGAGACACTCTGAGAATAGCAAATACCTGTGTTCTCCACCTCTGCAGCAGTGCCACAACAAGCAGACCAAAACATCCAACATTTAAAAATGCTAGCAAAAGGTTATCCTCTTCTATCCTTGAATGTTTTATATTAAAAAAGCTCAAACGAGCGTCTATATGAGGATGAGTATTTCAGCCTGAAATGGCATGTAACATGGAGTTCTGTTCCTAATCATGCAATGTAATGAAAAGTATAAACAGACACACCCAGCTAAATGGCAATCAGGGGTGCAATTGCATTTTTGACACAACATTCACTGTTGACCGCTGAGAAAGTGTCTCTGCTTATGAATTGCCTGGGGAGTAAAGGCAGATTGTGCAGAAGTGACTGTGGAAAAATGCTGCGCTGTGAACAAGTGTGGTGAATGGCATCATTGCATGGAAATGCACCAAACCTCAGAAGCTCAGTATTTCAGTATGTTAGACCGTGGCAAAGTCACTGGGAATGAGAGTTAAAAATGCCTGATAGTAGTCTCTGTTCCTCATTCTATCTTATTCTCTCCAGCATTCCTTGTATGCACCAAGTTTAAGTTTGGCTGGTTAGCATGGGCAGGTAAGCTGGTAGATGCTGGAACTACACCATTCTGCTGGCAAAATGTGTCTTTCTCCATCGATGGCCTTTCAGAAGAAGCCATGTAGCCTATTCTGACCAAATGTTTTGTTTATCACAAATATATGTATGTGTATGTTATTTAAGGAACATACTTCTAAACACTAGCATTAAAAAGTTTGTCAGTTTTTTAACTGTTATGCTCACCAGTTATTTGATTAAAAACAGGGATATTGTAAAACATTATTAAAAGGAAAAATAACTGTTCTATTTTAATATATTTAAATATATATATTTATTCCTGTGATGGCCAAAGCTGAATTTTCAGCAGCCATTATTCCAGACTTCGGTGTCACACGATACTTCAGAAATCATTCTAATATGCTGATTTGCTGCTCAAGTAACAATTCTTCTTATCAATCTTGAAAACAGTTGTGGGAATTCATATTTAAAAAGATTCATGGTTCTTTATTGAACAGAAAGTTAATTTAACAGCATTTATTTGACAGAAATATTTTGTAACATTATGAATGTCTTTACTGTCATTTTTGAATAATTTAATGCCTATATGCGGAATACATTTTTATTAATTTTTTTACTTACTGACCCCATACTTTTAAATGGTACTGTACAATTCATCACAGGTCATAATAGTTGCAAATGAAAGACTTGGGACTGTGTGAATTCTTATGGCATCATCCGCCAATCAAAAGCTCCAGAGTAATTAGTCACATGGCATTTACAGTTCAAGTAACTTAGTAATGAGTCCAGAACTAAATGCCCAGCAAAGACTGTCATGTACCAATGAGCAACTGCCATTGAGATGAATGTGAATGCTAATGGATAGCTTTCTCCAGGTGTTATTATAGACCTTCATAGGGATTTGCAGATTTGTTCAGACTCATAAGTAAAGAAGATAATACACAAACACACAGGCTTCATTTCTGTCTCATCACCCAATCCACACAATTCTCCTTCCAGCACAGACATACTGTCTCTCTATTAAAGTGAAAAAATTACTCAATATGAATCTAATGATCAATGTTAACACCATTTTTGGGAATACGTCATTGCTTATGAGTCTGCTGTAATGCGCTGTTGCAGTCAATAAACAGGAACATGATTTCCCCCTTTCCCCTGTAAACATCCCTGCCACGAGATACATGGAAGTGAGGTGGGCAGGCCACATACTTCACAATGTAATCAGCAGCTGAATCCCATAAGTGTTCATTGAGCTAAATGCTAAAACTCCAGAGTGGCTTATGTAAATATTTTGGTCAGTCTAACTGTCTTCCTGATGTGTAAAGTAATCAATTAATCTTAATCTGTACTAATGCTACAGTTTCTATTCCAACTGGCCATATGTATGTGTATGGAACTTAAAGGCATCTTCAAATAGGTAAATATATGCATCATTGCAAGACCAATCAAAATTTAGTATGCAAATACTAGTATGCAGCTCTAATCTGGTAAATGCTAAATTTAGTGTAGAAACTATTTTCCCTCAGAAACTGCTAGTAAATTTCACAAATAATTTCAAAGAATCTGGATGTAATACATTGAATTAAACATGACATTTTGAAGTAGAAAGACTGAAATTGTATTTTCTTTTAAAACATACTCCAATAATTTGTTTTATTAAC